TGTGAGAAAGGCAGACCCAGTGAGCTTGGTTTTGGGATTCTCTCCAGCTGCAGCCATGCCTGCTATCTCAAGTGTATTTACAAGTGGAAGGGCACTAAGCTATTTGAGAGCAAGATTATAGTGTCCTACCCAGAATGCTGGATCACACTTAACTTTGTTATTCCCAGTGAGTACCGGGTGGGAGAAAGAAGAGAAGCAGAAACACATCCAGAAAGACAAGGAGGCAATGAGCAGCCAGGTGTGCAGGGATTTTGATGAAGGATGGGGGAGCTGCCCATCTAGAGGAAAGTGTTTTTACTACCCTGATGGCCATAGAAAGGATACACAGAGACAGACGAGCAGATGCTGGGCCCAGTGAAGGAAACACTTCTGGAAGAAAGAGAGAACAATGACCTCTCTGACAACAGTAAAGAAGAGGTTGTCACCTCTGAGCTGGGTGAGGCGTTGCTTATGCTTTTGGCTGCAGATGAGGATGATGAACTGACAGACTTTGAAAATGAGTGGGACTTGTTCCATGATGATCTGGAGGATTTTTATGACTTGGCTCAATAGCCACCTTGACTGGCGTGTGAATTGCCCTGCTGACCTCAGACAGCAGCTGTCCCCTGTGGTGGTGTGACAGTGCCCGTTTCTCTCCTAGACAGGTCTGTCAGCTCCAGTGCTGTCTTAATAATTTTTACTCAGGGCTTGTCTTCTCAATTTGTGACCTTTCCCCGAGGAGTGTGTTATTTTCTCTGTTGAAAAAAGTTTCAAAAATAAGTCCTGAAGTTAGTGTTTTGTAACATGAATTTAACGGTCAGACAGTTCATGTAGGTGTGTGATGTCATCTGTTTTCAATCAGATTGTGTTTATAGACTCTTCACACAGTCATTTTGAGGACTGTAGGTTAAAGCTGTGGCCCTGCTTTGGGGTCCAAGGATAGGAGTGATGGGTGAAGGGACTCACACTCGCCAAGAGTGTTCTGCCCCAACGCAGGATGTGGATCCCTGAGGTTTCTGCTGAAATCTGCACAGCTGTGTTTTCATATCTGTCCCCTACCCTGTAATCCCCACCCTGTGCACTTGCTCTGTGGTTTTTGTCTCTTGCTTAATTGTACACCAGTGATACTACTGGGTAACCAGAATCAGGTGGGAATGTGTTGAGATTTCTGCTGTGGTTTGTTGTTGTTGTTGTTTGTTTTTTGTTTTTGCTTTTATTTTTGTTTTGAGGTTGAGTCTCACTCTGCCACCCAGGATCCCAGGCTGGAGTGCAATGGCGCGATCTCAGCTCACTGCAACCTCCCCCTCCCGGGTTCAAGCAATTCTCCTGCCTCAGCCTCCCGAGTAGCTGGGACTGCAGGCACGCACCACCACGCCTGGTTAATTTTTGTATTTTTAGCAGAGACAGGGTTTCACCACGTTGGCCAGGCTGGTCTTGAACTCCTGACTTCAGGTGGTCCACCCACCTTGGCCTCCCAAATTGCTGGGATTACAGGTGTGAGCCACCGTGCCCAGCCCTATCATGTTTTGTGTGATAGAAAAATTGAGAAAGAATGCAAATAAAAGATAGAGGGTGTAAAATCAATGCAGAGTTGGAAGTTGACTCCCAAGAGCTTGGTGTGTGTGAATGTGAGTAAGTGATAAGCTTCTCATCCCTGCATAGATGCAGTATTCTTAGCCTTAGCAGAGAAACTTGGCTTAGTGATTTAAGTCCTGTGTGGCAGATAGATCTTAAAGGACAAAGCAGTTGTTAATATATCAGTACTAGCTCTGTCTGTCTACATAAATAAAGAAATGGGGTTAGCCATAGAGTTAAAACTATCTGGTTATCCTAAATATTAACACAAACTGGGGCTTGGATACAGAATTGTATTCATGGTTTTACAATCTAGGTTTTCTAGTCCAGGCACTTTTTGAAAAAACCTTTGGCCGCATTCGAGGTGTTTTGTTGTTGAGTTTTTTGTGTTTGTTTTTGTGGGTATTTGCCTGATTCTACCTCTGAGCTTTCAGATAAACAGATGTGATTCAAAACTACATTCTAAGGTGTTTACTGTAGTGGAGTAATTGGTCTACAGTAATAAGTCACACTTTTCTACGGAAGAGGGTGATGGTAATCCCTGAGACAAGCTAAGTTATTAAAAGAATTTCTGCTGGAAATGTTGCCCTTGAGTTTTGTTGCTCTGTTTCCTGAAAATAACTTGGACATACTCCTGATCTATCACTTGATTCCTTGGATCCCACTCATTCTTTAACTTTAAGCAAAAACCAAGTAATTGTTGTCGTTAGGTTTTGAAGGGAAGGTGAGGATTAAAGAAAGACACACAGAGAGGGGGTGCTCAGCAGCAACACGGGTATATTGCAAAATCCTGCAAGAATGGGGGATCAGCTTAAAGCCAGAGCCCAGCACCGCTTACAGGCTGGGGTACTTACGGGTATGGGCAGGAGGGGTCTGGGCCATCTGGCTTGCTGCCTGGCAGGATATTGATAAGATGTACCTATAGTCAAGCGGTTTGACCCTGTTTCCAGTGGGATGTGATAAGATGTTCCTTGGACCTTTGCCCAGCAGGATATGATAGGGATGTCTCTTCAGTTGAGCCTTTGCCCGGCAAGGTATGATAAGAATGTTTCTCAGGACCTGAACCCCTATAGAGTGTTTCACTTTGACCAAGTTCTGTGACGTGGCAGGGGGCTTGTAACACGGTGCAGTTTATACTCACAGTTGCCAAAGTCTCTGTATTTTGCAGCTGCCCTCTTGTACGAAACACGTTTCCCGAGTAAAACCAAAACAAATTTTTTACAGATGATAGTTTTCAGTATCCGTTATGGAATATGACCACAAGTACCAATTATAATGTTGGAAAATGCCTTTTCTTCATGGGTATAGATAATTTCATAGCAGGTATTCAGAAGAGTATTTTGTTATTCTTCTAACAGTGTTTTATTAAATTCTTTATTTTTCTATTACCATTTTAGTTTTGCACTTCTTAGTTTCAATTTATTTATCTTATTCATTAAGCTTTTAATTATTTACCATTACTTTGTATGTTGTCATGCTTTAGCAGTTATTCACATGAAGTAAAATTATGCAGTAAATATGCATTTGTATACTATCCATTTCTTAGTAAGAAGACATGCATCTGTCTGCTGCCAGTTGGTGCATGTTTTGGTTTGCTGGTGGAAAAATACTGTTTCAGAGTTCTTCCAAGGTTACATAATGCTGAGTGGCTTGTTCCTAGGGTGTTTGAAAGTATGCTTCCCTTTAAATAATTTGAAATGTAATAATCCTTTATTTAAAGTTTTATTCATTTTGTATTTCTATATGTGTTTAAACTTTGAGAACTTTTTATCTCTTCAGTATGTGTTAATTTTAGTATAAAGTTATCTTCCAACTTGAATCAATACAAAGTCCATGGTACTTTATATCTTTCTGCTATCTGTGCTAGATTTGTGATCAATAAATTGTTACCAAAAGGTAGATTAATAAGGGAGAGTTGTGCCAAAAATTTGTTTTATCAAAAGTGGGATAAACTGACATGATCACACTGACCTAGCATGATATAGCAAGAAGAACATAACATTCCTTATGTAGGATTCCTGCCAAGAAATGTATAACCTGAATCAAATTGTGAGGCAACAATCAGATAAGCCCAAATAAAGGAACATTCTTCAAAACAACTGATGTGTCCTCTTCAAAATTAACAATGTCTTGAAAGACAGAGAGAGGCCAAGGAACTAGATTAAAGGGGTCTAAATAATATGACAACTCTATGTAAAAATGATCCTCAATTGACTTCTGAATCAGAAAAAAAATTATGAAGGATATTATTATAACAATGGGTAAAATTTGAATATGGTCCAGATTTTAGATACTGCTATTATATCTGTTTAAGTTCTTGGATTTGATCATTGTGTAGTGGTTATGTTTGAAACATGCCCTTGTTCTAGGAGACATATGCTAAAGTTTTAGGGGTGGCAGTTCATATTTGTAACTTGCACAAATCCCTCTCAAATAGTGATGAGGATGAGGAGGTGGATATTTGCTGTTAGTGAATCTGAGTAAATGGTTTACAGATGATCATCCAGAATGAATCATCCCTGAAAGTTTTCTGTAAGTTTAAAATATTTCAAAATTAAAAGTTTAAAAGAGCAAGAATATTATTAACAACATGTTCAATGAAAAGACCCAAATAGCTCATTGAGATTTTGGAGTCCCACTTCAATAAAAATGTCACCTAACATTGACCATGGTCATGGTCATCCCTGGAAGGGAGATTATGAGTGTGCTTCTTAGATTAAGTTTTCCTTTGATTTATGTGCATTTGCCATTATGTGAGGTTTTTACTTTTGAAATTCCGTTTCAGTGGAGGAGGTATTTGCATTCTGGGGAAAAAAACTTGTTGGTCGTGATTATCGATCTTTTACTTCCTGCTTGGCTTTATTTTCTATAAATACTCTATGTTGCTTGGCTTTCATTAATTTTGTTTTCAGATGCGCAGTTGGCAAAACACCTTTCCTTCTTCTCATTGTAGCTTTGCGTCTGAAGTGACACTGATTGTAGGTGGAGAGCGTTCAAATCCCCTACCTGGTGGGTTATGAGGAATTAGGGCTCCAATCAAAAGTAGAGATGACTTTGGACCACAAATCCCCCAAATAAGCCAGAAACTCTTCAGACCTTCCCTAAGGAAGGGGGCGCGGAGACTTGTGGGAAACGGAGTCTGGAATTTGACGGATCGTCCCGGGAGCGCCCCGGGGACTGGTCCTTGGCAGCCCCGTCTGCGCATGTGCAGTTCTTCCTCATTGTTCCAGTCTCGGATCAGCGTGGAGTCTCCGGGTCTACGCGTAACTCAGCGATCAGGTCCTTCACGAAAGATGTGCTCTGCAGGTGAGAGCCTAGCTTGGAGGGTTGCTTTGCGGGGCTTGGGGTAGGTTTGTGTTCACAGCCTGTGGAAGCAAAAACTTGCTCAAATCCCACGCAGGTTAAGACCCTATGGCGCTTGTTCCCGAGTCTACCCTGCGTCTGTCCGTCAAGAAAGCCAGAGACAGAGGAGGAGGCCCGCTGCGGATCTGCAGGTTCCACAAAGAAGATAAGGGAGAGGGGTACAGGTTTCCCGTCAGAAAAGGGGGTTCCAGGAAAAGGCATTCACATGTTAAAGAGCTGTTTCCAGAAGCTCCTCAAATTCACAGGTGCCCTGGGCAACCATTCAGCAGCTAGTCAGACCCACGACTCCAGAGGGGATGAGAACAATTCTTACAACCTTTACTTTATGCTATGCTATCATTTCCACCTTGCAAGCTGATTGCAGAGCCTGAGTTTGAAAGTAAGACGAGTTCACATCCTAGCTCTGTCACTGGATCGCCGTGAACACAGTGATGAACCTAACCTCTAAGACTCAGTATCCCCATCTGTAAAATGAAGTTATTTCTAAAACCTGCTTCAGGGTCGTTCTGAGTGTTGAACAAGAGAGCACCTGGAAAGCACTGCGCACAGGTCCTGGCATTTTCTAGGCACTCTGGAAATGTGGCCTGCCTTTCCTGCTGTTCTTTTCACTGGGTGTATCATTTGATTGTCACAGACACCCTGTAAAGTGGGTGTTACCCATTCCATTTTAACTGAGAAGAAAACTGAGACTCTGGAGGTGAAGGCAAATGGCTTGCAAGTGAAGGATCTGAGATACAAGCCTCAAACGGTTTTGTTTGCAAATTGAATGCTTCACAGCACTTAGCAGAGTGGCATGTCTTTACATGCCAACCGGAGTGTGTAGGGGCTGAGCCTTCCCTTAAGGCTCTTGGAAATTTCTTGGTGTCTCTGCAGAACCCTCGGGATACTGTATAACTGAGGCCTCTGGGCGCCTCAAAGTCCATCTGTCTGTGCCCTCCGAAGTTCTCAGGCTCCCAAGGGAGATTTGCAGGCAGTGGTTCTCAAACTCATCAGCATCACCTGGAGGCCCTGTTAACCCCAGCCCACGACTGAATCCCACCCCCGGGGCTTCTGATTCAGTGAGTTTGGGGAGAGGCCCAAGAATCTACCTTCCATTTAGTTCCTAGGTGATGCTGATGTTGCTGGTCTGAGGTCCACACTGAAAGCCGCTGTTGTAGGAGATGGTGAACTCCAAGAGAGAGCTGGAACCCGGCTGAAGGTCCCAGTTATCTGAATTTATTCCCCCTTCCCCCCAGCCAGGGTCACCCTGCTTCTGTGAGGAGGGGACATCAGAAGCAGGAATCTCACCTGGGAAATCCCCACCCTCTCTGATAAAATGCACACAGCTGCACCAAGGACATCCGGGAAACAGGCAGATCTCTAAGCGCTTGCTCTTGAAGCAATTCCCGATTCTTCCGCCCTGAATAACTCAGCATCTCGGAGGTTGCCAAGAACCGTCGGTCAGCGAAGGTGTGGGCCAGCTGTCAAAGGACAGAGGTGAGCTGGGCCGAGGGTGGTGAGTTGGGCTGAGGATGGTGAGCTGGGCTGAGGATGGTGGGCAGGAGGCCGGCCGCGGGGGAGGAGGAACACCCAGGTGAGGACGGATGGGGAAAATACTATCGCCACTCCTCTCGGAAACTCCTCCCATGCCCCTAATGCTCCAGCCCTCTTCCTAGATTCTGCAGCGCCCTCAAACCCCGCCCATCTGCACATCTGGAGTTTAGGGACATGCTACCCATTACCTACTCTTGACTTTAGAGGAGTACCGGGAAGCTTTTCAGGGGTTATGTAAATGTGCCTCATTTTAAAAGTGAAAAATGTTAACACAGTGCTTAAGTGCGTAGCTTCTGGGGCCGGACTGCACGGGTTCAAAGCCCAGCTCCACCACATTGCTCAGTCTTCCCCTCGGTTTCCTCTTCTATGAAATGGAAGTCATAATAGTAGCTATGCTTGGCTTTATTTTAAAGATTAAATGAAAGAAGACCTACAAGGTACTTAGAACAAGTCCTGTTATGTAGTAACTACAAGTATTGCCAGTATCTTAATATTATTATAACTAGATTATTGTAATCTAGGCTTGCATTATATGTTAGTGGTAGAACCAGAAAAAGAACCCAAACCCCCTGACTCCTACGCCATTGTCCACCTGTCTCAGTTAAGTCAAAACAAGTTTCTTAGTAAAAAAAAAAAAAAAAAAAAATTCGGAGACACTGAAACCAGAGGAGAACAAACCTTTTCCTTTTTTAAATAGACTCCCTTCAAGCACAAGTACTTTTGTTGTCACAGTTTCCTGTTAATTCTGTAACCTCAAGGAATTTAAAACATAAGTTGAAAAGTAAATGAGCACACCTCTGTAAGGTTTTTGCTGTATCATTTCTTATGCTTTTTATTATGGAAATATTCACAACATACAAAAGTCAAATGATATAATGACTCCCAGGTACTCGTTACAGCTCCAGCATTGGACAATTTTATTTCGTCTATATACCACCCCCCCAACACACACACACACACACACACACACACACACACACACACATGTGCGCGTGTGTGTACACTTTCCCCATTACTACCTGCCTCTGCTGGATTATTGTAAAGTAAAATATCAATCAATCAGACATCAAAAAATTCAGTCCGTAGTATGTGTGGTAATAGGACAGACGGCATGACATCTCATCCTTTGTTGTGACATGATTGTTTAACCAGGTCTCTTTAGTTGGATTTTGTGTGGTTTATATTTTTCTGCTACTATATCCAAGGAGGTTTGTAAGAAACAAGTATTTGCTTTCCCCAGTGAAAACCCTGATTCTCTTAGCTTCCAGTGGTTATATTAGGGTTATGAGTCCCCTCTGGAAACTTCTACCTGCCGCTTTTGAAGGATCAAAAGAAATTTTCCCATGGTTCAGCAATTCGCCAGCAGATTTATGTGAATTTCTAGGCACATGCTAAGAAGACCTTCAAAGTAGAGCAGATTTCTCATGATTTCTTTGCTCCTTCTCCATCCTACAGCTCTGCCTTCACAGTTCTCTAAACTTTTCCAGGATCAGAAGAAAATGAACACATCCCAGGTGAATTATTTACTTATTATTCAATTTTTCCAGTGAAACTGAAGAGGTACTTTGCATTTTTAGTAACCATGCTTTTTTGGCCATTTTTTTCTTCATTTTTTCACTTCCTGACTTTTTTCCTGTATTATTATTTTACCTTCTTTTTCTCTCTTCCAGTGGTTTTGAAAGTCCACATTTTATCTTTATTCTGTTATTGATTATCATTGATTACTGTTGATATGTTTAACGTGTTTTTCTGTCAACATCAGAATTTTTTTCATCAATAGTATACCTAAACAAGATACACTCTTCTGTCATTTCAGGTTTTGTAGAAATCATCTAAATACTTTTCTTTTTCACTTTCTTTTTTTTATGTGATAAGTATTTTTTGAATCCTTTGCTAACTATTACACCACGCCTTCCAGCTACTGGAACATAATAATTTGTATTAGAATATACATTTTTTTTGGTCATTTTTATTGTTACAAGTTTGAAGATAAAGTGACAAAATTAGAATAGTCGATCAGCTTTACTATTATGTACAATTTAGGTCTGCATGTTATGTTCCAGTCACTGTTAAATCCCTTACTTGGATTAGCTCATATAATTCTGACAATCACATTATGAATTAGGTAGCTTTTACTGAGGGCAAAACAGATTTCAGTGACTTCTTTGGGTCTTTCTTTCTTTCTTTCTGTCTTTCATTCTTTCTTTCTTTCCTTCTTTTGAGACGGACTCTCACTCTGTCACCGAGGCAAGAGTGCAGTGGCGTGATCTCAGCTCACTGCAAACTCTGCCTCCCAGATTCAAGCAATTCTTCTGCCTCAGCCTCCCAAGTAGCTGGGATTACAGGCACCTGCCACCGGACCTGGCTAATTTTTATATTTTTAGTAGAGAGAGGGTTTCACCATCTTGGCAGGCTGGTCTCAAATTCCTGGTCTCAAGTGATCCACTGGCCTCGGCCTCCCGAAGTGCCGGAATTACAGGCGTGAGTCCCTGCACCTGGCCCAAAGATTTATCATTATACTAGCACTCTCTCCTGAGCTCCAAGACCTTATATGCAACTATGCAACTGTTACCTGGACATGTTCACCTGTATGTTTCACAGGTACCTTAAGTATAACATGTCCCAGGTTTCTCTCTCTCTCTCTCTCTCTCTCTCTCTCTCTCTCTCTCTCTCTCTCTTTGTCTCTCTCTCTGCCCAATTCTTTCTCCTGTTTTGGCAATCCTAGTGCATGGCACCAGCATCAGCCCAGCTGCTGTCATGATAAACTGAGAACAATGCTCCATTTGCCCTTCACTGCATAACCAACATCTAGTTAATTCCACATAGAATCAGTTCAGGTTTCTCAATCCCCACTGCTGCTACGTGAAGACAGGTGGTCTCTCTCACACTAGTCTACTATCTTCCTCTCTAACTTCCCTTTAAAACTGAATTTCCTGACCTTGACCATTGACACTTTGGGCCAGGTAATTTGTTGTTGTAAGGGCTTCCCCGTACATTGTAGGATGTTTAGTGGTATCTCTGGCCTCTACTAACTAGATCCCAACCCCACCCCTCTCAATCATGGCAACAAAACATGCTTCCAGATAAAATTGCCACTAGTTGAGAACCACTGCCTCAAAGCATTGTCCACTCTGCCCCCGGAGCATTAATTTCAAAATATAAATTTGTTTACATTACTTATCTCCTAGTAGAGGTGTGTACTCTAGAGAACTGCACAAGACAATCAGATGGTGCATGGAAAGAAAGTATTGGAATATCCATTTAACTTTGTTTTGCATCTAAAACAAAACTAAGGAAGTTGTTAAGCTTTACTTTTGGTGAGTGGCTGAGAGTGGTGTATATAAATAATCTATAAATATACCGAGGGATGCTCGGATTTTTACCGAGTGACTAAATATTTTAGAGGCCACTGGTCTATAGGAGAAAGTCTAAAATCCCTCTGTCTGACCACAGAGCACCTCTATTGTTCTTTATCTCCCAAGTCTCCAACCTGATTCTTCTGTCCCCCGTACTACCTTGTCAATTACTTTCATTTGAGGTGTGTGTTCATGATCCGCACCTTGGCTTATGCCATTGCCCCGTGTTCACACAAAACTCACTGCTTGTGTGCAGTTAAATCTTACCCTCCTTGGTGAAGAATAACCTGAGGATTAATTTTTTTCCCTCTTTGTGCCCTCCTTCTACCTTGACCACACATTGTTTTCATGGCTTCCATAATTCATTGTTGCATGTGGGTGTTTGTATAGAAAGTCTCTTCAACAGTCTGAAGAGCCTTAAAAACAGGACCAGTGTCTTCTTTGCCTTAGTCTCCTCTGCAACTAGAACAGTTCCAGGCATGTAGAGGAAACTCCAGTTGTTTTATGAATTAATATGTGGATTTGTAAGTAAGCATAAAGGCCTAGTATTTCTATTATGATTTCTATTTCCCCATAAAATGTACCTGAAGGAAGGTACATGTCAGACAGCCTTTATAACATTTTCTGGTAAACTTTTAACAGAGAACATGGTAGGCATTAGTTCCCATACATATTTCTCATGCCATTGAGTCTTGAGCACTTCAGATGGAGCAGGATTGGACTGTTACAGGGCTCAGTGCTGTTCGAGGATGTATATGTGTACTTCACCCAGAAGGAATGGCAGCTGCTGGATCCTGCCCAGAGGCTCCTGTACAGGGACGTGATGCTGGAGAACTACAGACACGTGGTATCACTGGGTAAGCCCAGCTTCCCATGCAACTCCAAACAGCATGCATTTCCTATCTTAGGAACCAAATCATTGTAGAGAGTGATGAATTTCATGTTTGAGATTTGGGAGTCAAGACTCTTGGAGGGTACTTTGAAGATTATTGTATTCTTACTTCCCTGGTGAAACAACCTACTTTGATGAAGCACATTTGGACACCACTATTGTGTAGCTTCTAGAGCTTCTCCCTTCTTGTCCTTCAGAGAGCCTGAACCCTAAGCGACTTCTCCAAGTCTCATGTCATTTCTCATAACAGGGCACTGTGTTACCAAACCTGAGCTGATAGTCAAGTTGGAGCAAGGAGACGAACCATGGATATTAAAGAGAGACCCACCAAGTCAGAGCCACTCAGGTGAGTTGACATCAGGTATAAAGAAGCTGGGAGAAATTAGATCCCAAGTGGCCAGTCCAGGTGTCAGAATCTTTGAAATATATTTTAGAAATCTCTTTTAGAGGCTCCAGGCTTTAGAATTAATGGAAAAAGATGACCACCATACCTTCAATATCAAACCTCCAAATATTCTCATATATAAAGGTTTTTTGTTTTTCTGTCTGACTTTTAGGAAGAGACTTTCTTGGTTTTTATAGAATCCAGTTGCTGTCTTCCTCATCCTAGACCTTTATGTCTGTTTTTCTCTCTGTCCAACAAGTGGCCATTGTTCACTTTCTCTCTGGTATCTAACATGCATTTTATCATGCATTCCTTTATTTGACAAATATTTATTCCGGACCTGCTATGTACCAGTCACATTCTAAGTACAGGGAATAGAAAAGCAACATCTCTACTCCTATCAGTAGATTCAGTTAACAAATAAATACATAATAAGCCATGTGGTAATCAACATGATGAAAAAAATCAGATGAAAGAGACAGAGACTCCTAGAGAGTATTGTTTTAGCAAGGGAAGTCAGAGGGGGCCTCTTTGTGGAGGTGAACATTTTAACAGAAACAGTGGAATAGAGTTTTCAGTGAAGGGATGGAGTGAGCCATGGATTAGCAGAGCGATTTTCAGACCAGGGGAATAGTGGGTGTAAAGATAGTGAGAAAAGAGTGTGTTTGGTGTAATTAGAGAACAGCAAGGAAGTCAGTGGACCAGAAGACATCCGGTGAGGAGAAAGAAGCAGGTAAGGTTAGAGAGTTAGCTGGGTGGAAAGCTTTATAAGCCTGGTAAGACTTTCAGTTTCACTGAGTGAGATAATAAGTAAGAGAATATGGCAAAGCCTATACCTTTAAGCACTATGTTTGGAAGTCAGGAAAACACAAATCTCTAGCAAGGGAGACTGAGAAGGACCATCCAGCATGGTAGAGGGAGAACCAGGAGAGCATGAACAAGGTGTTTCAAGAAGAAAGGAGTACAATCCAACATGCAGATGGAAGTGTAGAGTTCAGCATTGCCTCATCTTTTCCTGAAAAGTAACCAAAAACCACAAGGAAAATAATACAAAACAAAATGTCAACTCAATTTTCACTGGAAGTTGGAGACAGCTGAAATGCTAAGGCAACTGAAATCCTTTATATATATATAAACAAATATATATAGAGAGAGTATATATTTATATATTATATATTTATATATTATATATATTTATATAGATTATATATTTATATAGATTATATATTTTATATATAAAGGATTTATATTAATATATTATATATATATATATATATATATATATATATATATATGAAGGTGAAAAATCCGCCTAAAGCAATGAAAGGTCAGGCTTGCTTATAGATGTTATTTATAGAGAAAATAACATCATGCAAACCAGTGCTGTGGAAAACAGTGTTAGATATAGTGTACAGACAATATTTACTTGGAAAAATTTTCCTTGAATAAAACTTTGAAGTGGTGAGGACATTACTTTTTGAAACAATGGAACAGTAGTAGCATTGTTTTGAAGGACATCTAGGTTCTGAGGAGGGCTAAGGACAGAATGTGTACTAAGTGAAAAACAGGAAGGGAGGTTTATAGTTGAAAATGAAGAATTTTAGAATTACATAGCCTGATCTGATAGGAGCTAACAATACTGTAGATTTACGAGATGGTCACTTGAACAGTGTATTGTGAATTTAGGTGTAAGAATCTAGTATAATATCTAAGCATTGAAATCTACTATCAAATGTTTTATTGGTATATTGACTTCTATTTATTTTATGTACTATAGAAAAATCCTAAGCTCTTAAGCATACAATTGATATTATTGCATGCAATGTGATAGCAGAGGATAACAGTTAGCACCAATAGTCAAAATTATTAAGAAAAAGTTCAACGAAGGTCCTTGGGACTACGTTAGGTAGCCAGGTGTTTGTGTTCTCACAGAAAAGAGAAACCAAAGAGAAATAAACATATGAAAGCTGAATTAAAAATTAAGAGTTGGGCCTGGGCGCGGTGGCTCAAGCCTGTAATCCCAGCACTTTGGGAGGCCGAGGTGGGTGGATCACAAGGTCAAGAGATCGAGACCATCCTGGTCAACATGGTGAAACCCCGTCTCTACTAAAAATACAAAAAATTAGCTGGGCATGGTGGTGCAGTGCCTGTAATCCCAGCTACTCAGGAGGCTGAGGCAGGAGAATTGCCTGAACCCAGGAGGCGGAGGTTGTGGTGAGCCGAGATCGCGCCATTGCACTCCAACCTGGGTAACAAGAGCGAAACTTCGTCTCAGAAAAAAAAAAAAAAAATTAAGAGTTGGCCAGGCACAGTGGCTTAACCCTTTGGGAGGCCAGGGCTAGAGAATCATCCAAGGCCAATAACTCAAGAGCAGCCTGGGCAATATAGTGAAGCCCTGTCTCTGCAAAAAATAATAAAAATTAAAAAATAATTAGCTGGGTATCCTGGTGCACACCTGTAGTCTTAGCTACTTGGGTACTTGGGAGGGTGAGTGGGAAGGTCACTGGAGCCCAGGAGATGGAGGCTGCAATGAGCTATGATTATGCTATTGCACTCTAGCCTGAGCAACAGAGTGAGACCCTATCTCCAAATAAAGTTAAGATGAGGCACAGTGACTCACTCCTGTAATCCTAGCATTTTGGGAGGCTAAGTGGGAGGATCACTTGAAGCCAAGAGTTTAAGACTAGCCTGGGCAACATAACAAGATCCTGTACCCAAACAAACAAACAAAAATAATCAGCTGGATCTGGTGGCACACATCTGTACTCCCAGGTATTCAGAACGCTGAAGTGGGAAGATTGCTTGAGCCTAGGAGTTCGAGGCTGCAGTGAGCTAATTGCACCACTGCATTATAGCCTGAGTGACAGAGCCATACCCTGTCTCAAATAAAAAATAAAATAAGGAGTTGAAAATTTATGTCCATATAAAAACATGCAGATGGAGATATATCACAGCTTTATTCATAATTGCCAAAACCTGGAAGCAACTAAGATCTCTTTCAGTAGATAAATGGGTAAATAAACTATGTAGTACATCCAGACAATGGAATTTTATTCAGCACTAAATAGAAATGAATTATCAAGCCATGAAAAAAATGGAGGAACTTTAAATGTATATTACTAAGTAAAAGAAGCTCATCTGAAATGAAAAGGCTATATGACATTTGGAAAAAAGCAAAACTATGGAGACCAAGTTAAGATTAGTGGTTGCCAAGAGTTAAAGGGGAGGGAGGGATAACTAGGCAGAGTATGGATTTTTAGGGCAGTGAAACTATGCTTCCTGATATTATAATGGTAGATATATATATATATGTGTGTGTGTATATATATATTTGTGTATATATATGTATGTGTATATATATATATATATATATATATTTCCATTTGTCTCCATAAAATGTGCAACACCAAGAGTGAGTTCTAATGTAAACTTTGAACTTTGAGTGATTATGATCTGTTAATGTAGGTTTGATCATTTTTGAAAAATACCACTCTTGTGGGGGATGTTGATAGTTGGGAACTTTGTACATATATGGGGGTAAGGGGCATATGAGAACTCTATACTTTCCACTCAGTTTTGTCATGTATGTAAAACTGATCTAAAAATAGTCTTTTGGCTGGGCATGGTGGTGGCTCACGCCTGTAATCCCAGCACTTTGGGAGGCCAAGGCAGGCAGATCACGAGGTCAGGAGATCAAGACCATCCTGGCCAACATGGTGAAACCCCGTCTCTACTAAAAATACAAAAATTAGCTGGGCGTGGTGGCACACGCCTGTAATCACAGCTACTTGGGAGGCTGAAACAGGAGAATTGCCTGAACCAGGGAGTTGGAGGTTGCAGTGAGCCAAGATCACGCCACTGCACTCCAGCCTGGTGACAGAGTAAGACTCTGTATTTTTTAAAAAAAAAGTGTATTAAAAAAACAGTATTATAACAGGGCACAAACGATTGGTAAAACAAATCAGCAGATTGAAAGAGGTAAAAGTAGGTTGGGCCAACGAGACAGATTACTATTGATTAATAGAATCAGAATAGAATTCTATCATTAATAGAATGTTGGTGGTAGCACCAACATTCAGAATATGGAGATGAAATGGATCCTGTTGCAAGGATGGCTTGTCCTCTCATATATTTTAACATTCTCTTTGTACATTGTTTTTCTGTATCAAAGCTGCATGGAGAGATGGGGCCTGAACTATAGGACTGACCTTTAGGCTTGAGGAAATGAATGAGTTTGTAACTTTAATTTAGGGTTGCTGTGCATAATGAAAAAGAAAAGATTAGAGGCATGTAGAGTAAGGATTCTCCTGCAGCAATTAAGGTATAGAGGGAAGAGAGAGAGAGAAGGATCTAATCTTTCATTTGCCTCCAACATAATCTTTGCTCTCACACTTCCTTTGATAACCCTTCAGTCTTTATTGTCTCCCTACTGTGTCCCTTATCTTTACCCCATGCTTTGATTATCCTCAATTGGATTAATCATTTTCCCGACATCCTTTGTTCTCAATTCACTATTTATTGTTTTATTCCAAGATTTATCCATTTTAAGGGCATATTTGTAACAAGCCAAAGCTACATGTATTAATTTTTGACTTTGTCTCCTTTTTTTTTGCTATAGTGCATGTTTTATCTTTGCTTTCATATTACCCATCCAAAGACTAGAATTAAATATTTGTTTAGGGCTTCTATTGTCCCAGGATATTGTGACTGAAACCCAAAGATCAACTCAGCATAGATCACTTGCATGCAACCTCCTTCCTTAAGAAATGTGTTAAGATTTATAATGTATGGTTAATTTTTTGTATTTCTAGAAGTTCAGAAAGCCAATAACATGAAAGAGACAAGTCAAGAAAATAAAGACAAATATTTGAGGCAGGCTTTATTCATCAATGACAAAATACCGACTAAGGAGAGAAGTAAAACCTTAAGGGAAACATTTAGTATGGCCACAAACACAGTGCCCTCAAGAAAAATATCCCATAAATGTGACTCATTTGGAGCAAGCTTGAAAAGTGTTTCAGAACTCATTAATAGTAATAGAAACCATGTAAGAAAAAAGTCAGTTGATTTTAGTAGGTGTGACTTCCTTGATATTAAGTATAATAAAACTCATTCAGAGAATAAACCCTGTGAAAATGATCAAAAGAAGAAATCCCACAGTCATAATGAGGATTTTGTTCAATATCAAAAGGATTCATCTTTGGAGCAACTTCTTGAATATAATAATTGTGGAAAAGTCTTTCACAGAAAGACAGCCTTTGTTACACATAAAAGAGCTCACACAGTAGAGAAACCTTCAGAAAGAAATGAATATGGACAAGCCTTTATCCCAAAGTTAAAGCTCCATTCTTGTCCAAGAACCCTTAGGGAAAGAAAGCCACATGAGCCCTATAAAAATGGGAAATCTTCATGCATGAAGTCAAAACCTGCACTTCAGGAAATTCACACAGGGGAGAAACACTCTGAATGTAATAAATTTGGAAAATTTAGCAAGAAATCAAACTTTACCCAACATCAAAGAATGTACACAGGAGAAAAACCTGATGAGTGTAATGAAAATGAGAAAGCCTTGAAGAAGTTAGACCATACTCAAAATGAGAGAATTCATGCAGGAGAGAAAATCTGTGATTATAAGAAATGTGGGAAATTCTTTCATGAAAAAGCATGCCTTACTCAGCATCAGAGAACCCACACAACAGGAAAACCCAGCAAGTGTAATGACAGTGAAAGACTCTTAAAGAAGGAATCTTGCCTCACACTCAATCAGAGAATTAAAGCAAGAGAGAGAAACTGTAACGATAATAAATGTGAGAAACCTTTCTTTGAGAAGTTGAAACACACTCAACATCAGAGAAGGCACTCAGGGAAAAAAACCAATGGATGTAATGAAAGTAGGGGTGCCTCAAGTAGGAAGTCACAACTCACACAAAGCCAGAGAGCTAACAAAAAAGAGAAAACCTATGACTGTAACAAATGTGGAGAAAGCTTCCATAAGAAAACAGATCTCACACAGCATCAGAGCACACACACAGGGAAAAAACCCTATGAATGTAAAGAATGTGAAAAATCCTTCTTTGTGAAGTCCAACTACACTGAACATCAGAGAACTCACACAGGAGAAAAGCCATATGAGTGTAATGAATGTGGAAAGTCCTTTTGCCAGAAATCAGCCCTCACAGTACATCAGAGAACTCACACGGGAGAGAAACCATATAAATGTAATGAATGTGGGAAAACCTTCTGTGTGAAATCAAACCTTACTCAACATCAAAGGACTCACACAGGTGAGAAACCCTATAAATGTAATGAATGCTGGAGATCTTTCTGTGTGAAATCCAACCTTGTCGTGCATCAGAGAACTCATACAGGAGAAAAACCCTACAGATGTCCTGAGTGTGGGAAAACCTTCTATGAAAAGTCAGCCCTCACAAAACATGAGCGAATTCACACAGGGGAAAAACCCTATGAATGTTATGAATGTAGAAAAAACTTCAGCCAGAGGTCAGCCCTCACCAAACATCAAAGGAAAACACACAAGAAGAAAATTCCCATCAACACCCTCCATGTGCAGAAACCTGCATCTTCAAGCCAAATTTGTTGAACATCAGCAAAATCACAGGGCAGAAACCCTAAGGTGTTAACACATGTAGGAAAGTATTTGTTCATAGGTTATAATGAATAGGAATTAGAAAATTAACATAGGAGTGAAACCACATGAATGCTTTGAACATGTAAAAGCTTTCAGCAAGCATTCAGAGCTGTTGAGGAAAAATTAATTTGAGATACATTAATTTAAAAAGTTCTTGTGCATAAATTGTTTAAGTAGAAGTCATATTTCAGGTGTAATATCAGATTAATTTTAAAAAGAACAGAAAATGTCATGTTCTTAATATAATGTGAAACATGATCCTTTTGTAAAACTATGAATTATTTAAGTCATTGACAATAGTGTTAAATATGTGTGAAGATTTCCTGAAGTATATTGAGCTATACATATAGTTATACAGGACATGAGTGTGCTGTATAACATAAATTATGTGTATGTTGGATTTGTACATGGGAACCCATCATTGTCTCTGAATCACAACAATCCAATATATTTTATAAGTAAAAATTGAACAGTCACATAACCTGTGGCCCAACAATTCTAATTCTAGATGCATACCATAAAACAGTAGTTCTCAACTGGGCTTCTTAAAGTGTGTTTGGAAATAAGTTGTTTTGATTGCCAACGTGACTGACATGCTATAGGCTCTTGATAGCTGGGAGGCCAGAGGTGCCAGATTCCCTGCAATGTGTCAGTGGAAGGACAGGAAATAGTCTTATCCAGAATACCAGTAGCTTTACAACACACAAAAAAATTGCTCTAGAAACTCTTGCACATCTGCACCCACAAATTTGTACAAGATTAACTGCAACATTGCAATAGTTTTTATTTTAAAATTTGTTTAAAGAAAATATCCAAATGTTGATTAACAATAAACTAAATAAATGTGGGAATAATCATACAGTAGCAATAATATACATCAATGAAAATGAATGAAACTCTATCAAGTACATTAACATGGTTATATCTTAAAGTGATGTTGAATGAAAAAAGGGAAGCTATAGATACTATGTTATTTTATTTACATAAAGTTCAAAAACAAACCAAGAGTACATTGTTCAGGAATACATATATAATTAGCAAAATTAGAAAGGAAAGCAAATGGATGATTAACACAAAATCTGCAATATCAATTACTTTGTGGAGGAAGAATGTGGGCTTATATTTAGGGAGAGAAAAGAGAGATTCATGTCTCTTAAATGGGTTATGAATACACAGATATTTCTTTTATTTTTATTTATATTATGTATATACGTACTTATATTTACATGTGTATCTGTTAATAGAATATCTTATTTTCAAGAAAAGGCTTAAAATGATTGCATTAGGACATTAACAAAGGTGATGTTTTATAGTAAGAATTATAGTTAAGTTTTTTTTACATTCATCTATTTTTCTATAGTTAAATCTCTTTAATGACTTTTTTTCAAATATCCATACCACTAGTCATTTAGGTCTACCCTTGATTTTGATTGTCTTTTTCCATTTGTTTCCTAGTAGAATTTCTCCTAATTTTTTTTCTTTTTTTTTTTCCTCCTAAATTTTTTTAAATGATAAAAGGAACACTGACCAAGATAGAAAAAGTAAGGAAAGTGGAAAAGAAAATCAAAGTACAGTAGACTATATACAAGTAAAAATGAAAAAGAATCAATAATAAAACCTATCACAACTAATATGAACAAACTGAATTCCTACATCAAAGACAGAGATAGTTTAACAGTGACTTAGAAAACTAAATCCAACTATGTATGGCTTGTAAAAAAAAAAAAAAAGTACCTAAAACCAGGGGACAAAGGGAGTTTGAAGTTTAAGGGATGACAAAAACAGATTCAGAGTTTTTTAACATTTATCCACTAAAGCATGACAACATAAGGGTAAGTCCTGTGATTACCTTGTTTAACCAAAGGTTCATGGAGTTGTAGTCAGGGGATAGGATGGATGTTAAAAGTTGTGGCAGGGTCTGCCAATCGCCCTGCAGTAGCCATGGTCCCCTTCTTCCTTTAATAGTAGAACTCCCTAGTGAATGTTGGCAGGGCATATGGCCACCCAACTATACATTTCCTATCTTACTTGGATACCGGGGGAAAAAAAAAAAAATGGCACCTACCTGCCCATTGTAACTCTTACTTGGCTTATTGGGAAAGTGTAGACATTTATTTCCAATGGATTTATTGAGAATTTAGCCTTCTTTGAATAACAGCAAAAACCTGAAGGCCACCAAATATATAATAATAAGGGACTGGCTAAAGAAATTATCACACATCCAAAGGACAGAATATCTTGCTATTCATTAATAATAGAAAACTCTGCTATAGCAGAGTAGTCTCAGATGGGGAGACCAAAGCACAGAGGTGAGTTTGCTCAAGAACATACACCTAGTAAGACGCAGAGCCAGGATTTGAGTCTAGGTAGTCTGGCCCCAGAGTCCATGCTCCTAACCATTGGCTTCTTGACTGCTCATCAAAAATTATTGTCTAGGGGAAAATATGTTCATGTTATGTTTCATTTGTATCTTCAGCTAACATTTCTAACCCTTCAAGGTCTGAGAATCCACAGGAAACTGGAAAGGGCAGGGCAGGGAAGGGGCTTTCCGGCATGTCTGTCTTTTTGATGGTGCTCTCTTCATTGTCATTTCTGGTGAGAAAGTTTTAAAGATACTTTGTTTTGGTTTTATTTGTAATGATGAACAGCACACTGAGAATGGGACAACTTCTAATCTGGACATTGCCTCTAACCAATTGGTGACCTAGTCTAGCCTAATTTTATTACTCTTTAAATGGAGGCATATTTAGATAATACTATAATGCTTTTCCATTTTTCTTGTTCTGAACTTTGTATGTCAATCTATAGGGCAATCAGCACATCCTTAGAGGCCAAAGGCAAAGATGGATACGGTGTGAGTATAAGGCCAGCTCAGGTCTGGAAAGAATGAGTGGAGGGTAAAGCAAGCACGTGTCTTTAGAGGAGATTGAGATTGAATTTTCTCAGCTGTGCCTGCTCACCCCCTCCTGTCTTGAGTGTGCCCTCACAGAGATCCAATAAGCCTTTTCTTGTGGAGGTCTGCCCCCTGCCAAGCCCCTCAGCTTAGCTCCCTGTTTCAAGAATTGCCCTGAAACTTTCATTGGCAAACAACCCACATGGTCTCTGCATGGGGTAACACCATGCTTTGCACACTCTGAACAGAAGGATCAAAAATTGCTTATAGCTCAGCTCCTTGGCTGGGGCTCTTCCACCCCTGCCTAGAGCTCTGGAAAGGGCAGGGCAGGGAAGGGGCTTTCAGGTATGTCTGTCTTTTCTGAATTTCTATAACTGAATTTCTATTCCTGGAGTCTTGTCCTCCTAACACACAAGACCCATTGCATTCACATGGAGTCAGTATCTGGGCCCAAAGCACAGCTTCGCTTTAGACAGGACCTCCCACCTGATGACCAGTATCTGTCTCTGATGGTACCCACTGGTCCCTGAATCTCACACTGGCTTCTGGTAAACTCAAACCAGGGGTGCTAAGAACAAATACAGGCCAGAGAGTCCATAAGCCATCCTGAAGCTGCAGAAATGTAGTGTGCTCCCAAACACCAAAGAAACATCAAGAAATCCTGGGCCCAGGAGGCTGATACCCATTTTAATTCAACATTTATTTATTGGTGTCACTAAGGTTATTTCGTGCCATTGAGTGCTGTGAAGAATTCAAAGACCATTAACATCCAAGTCTAGGTTTTAGGCAAAATGGCGTATTGGGGAAGCACAACGTGGGATGGAAGGCAGTTCTGGGATTTAACACCAGCCCTTCTGCCACCTACCTGTTGATGTTGGGTGACGGACTTCACTTCTCTGAGCATCCATTTTCTTATTTTAAAAAAGACATAAAATAATAAGCTATCAATACTAACTTCACAATAAATATGTTCACTGGTACACTTAATTAAAATAATCTAGCAAAGTATCTTGTATAACAGAAGTAATGGCTCTTATTAGGATCTTGTTATACAGCAAGCAAGGGTATACATGCCGTATCACATTTAATCTCCAAAACAGGCCTACAAGATCAGTTCTCTTTCCATGCTCATCTTAAAGATGAGGAAAACAAGGCTGATAGATATTCCTTAAAAAGTACTGGGGTTAGGCCAGGCACAGGGGCTCATGCCTGTAATCCCAGAACTTTGGGAGACCAAGGTGGATGGATCACCTAAGTCAGGAGTTCGAGGCCAGCCTGACCAACATGGTGAAACCTGTCTCTACTAAAAATACAAAAATTATCCAGGCTTGATAATGTGTGCCTGTAATCCCACCTACTCTGGAGGCTGAGACAGGAGAATCGTTTGAACTCAGGAGGTGGAGGTCACAGTGAGCCAAGATCATACCACTGCACTCCAGCCTGGGCAACAGAGCAAGGCTTCATCTCAAAAAAACCAAAAAATTACTGGAGTTATAGAGAATCCCAAATCCCATAGAGACCCTGACTTGCACTCTCTGGCATCTACATTACTGCCCTTAGTTACAGCAGTTTGCATGCTCCTTACCTCTTCCAAATCAGCACAAAATATTCATGCTCTTCTTAGTTGCTCTCAAGGAACTTATCTCTTAGAGTACCAGGCTGCATGCTGGCCATGCTACACTTGTCAAGAGCAGAGTTTCTAGAATCATCTCTTGTGCCCTTTGATTCACATTCCTGGCCTCTCATTCAGCACCCTGGTCCAGAGAAAGAAGGAAATGCCCGCTCTCCGGCCCTGAAACCAGCAGATATAGAGCCAAGGCCTCCTCTTGCCCACCATTCCCTTGAGACCAAGTCCAGGACAGAGTGGGAACACTTCATAAGATTCCTCAATGTTTTGTTTGTACCTTACAAGAGCACAAGTCAATTCCACCTGGCATTCTCCCCCTTTCGCCCCCTATCTCTCTGCAAAAGTCCTTTTCGAGGCACTTTCAGTTTGTTTCCTAGGACCAATACTTTGGATGAACAAAGATGTGGAGTCTCCCCCATAAGTCTGTAGACAGAGCAAGAGCAATCTGTTTCCCTAAAATGGAACCACACATGTGCAGAAGGAGCTACTGAACATCTGTCCCTGGTGACTTCCTCTGGGTAATGCAAGAGCCCATTTTCCATAAATTTCTGTGGCACCTTTATTTGTGATTATGCAAGAGTTTCTGCTTCACTGAGTACACTAAATGCTTGCACTCAAAGGTAATTTTTTTCTGCCCCATAAATGCATGATTCTTTCAGT